AAAAAAAACTTTAAAAAATTTCCCCCACATAAAAAAAAAAAAAAAAAAAAAAAAAAAACAGTCTGAAAGCAGCCACCTGAGGAAGCCATCATGGCTAACTGCATGGGAACACACACTAGCCACATTTATGGGAACTATACCAGGCTGAAACATGGCAACATGACAACATGACAGGGGACATGATAGGAGACAGAGGGAAAAAAATCACAGTGAAGGTAATACAAAACACACTGTTGCCTCTATATACAGAGCACCTCTCATTATTTCATGTTCAGCCTTTTACAGCTGTTTTTGTTATGCATCTGTGGCTGGCCTTGGTTTGAACTCGAAAATGTAGTGCTTGGAAAACTACACTTAAGTTTCATTGAGTACATTGGCTCCCCGAGTGGGTTTCAACAAACCACTTAGCTCATTATGTTCACATCATCATCACTTACTTAATCTCTGTCTCCATATTCACACCACTTTCTTTTTTCCATTGATCACCATTCCAGAGAAAATGACACTGTGACCTTGTTGATTTATATCAACTTACTGTACATACAGTCATGTGAAAAAATTAGGACACCCTTTGAAAGCATGTGTATTTTGTAACATGTTTTAATATATGGTTATTTAATCTCAATTTTAACAATACAGAGAGATTAAAGTAATACAACTAAACAAGTAAAACTGAAGAAAAGTCTTTTCAAGATCTTCTGTAAATGTAATTCTACAAAAATGCCTATTCCAACTGAGGAAAAAGTTAGCACACCCTCACATGTATGCCCTCTTAAAATGGCTCAAATCACACACAGGTATATCACACCAGGTGCACATAATTAGTAGATCGTTACTCAGCATTTTGAATGAGGCTTGCCCCATCTACACCTCCAACCTTTAGTTTGGTGTGCTCCTGACTGTTGAAGTGAGAGTGAGCACCATGGTGAGAGCAAAAGAGCTGTCAGAGGCCTTCAGAAAAAACATTGTAGCAGCCTATGAGTCTGGTAAGGGATTTAAAAAGATCTCAAAAGATTTTGAAATCAGCCATTCCACTGTCCGGAAGATAGTCTACAAGTGGAGGGCTTTCAAAACAACTGCCAACATGCCCAGGTCTGGTCGCCCCAGCAAGTTCACCCCCAGAGCAGACCGCAAGATGCTAAAAGAGGTCTCCAAAAACCCTAAAATGTCATCTCGAGACCTACAGCAGGCTTTGGCTACTGTTGATGTAGAAGTGCATGCCTCTACAATCAGAAAGAGACTGCACAAGTTTAACTTGCATGGGAGGCGTGCAAGGAGGAAACCTTTGCTCTCTAAGAGAAACATCAAGGCCAGACTGACATTTGCCAGAGAGAATGTTGACAAAGACCAGGACTTCTGGAATAATGTTCTTTGGACAGATGAGTCCAAAATTGAATTATTTGGACACCAGAGCAGAGGACATGTTTGGCGTAAACCAAACATAGCATTCCAGGAAAAGAACCTCATACCAACTGTGAAGCATGGAGGTGGAAGTGTCATGGTTTGGGGCTGCTTTGCTGCAGCAGGACCTGGTCAGCTCACCATCATAGAATCCACCATGAATTCTACTGTGTATCAGAAGGTGCTTGAAGAACATGTGAGACCATCGGTTAGAAAATTAAAGCTGAAGCGGAACTGGACCATGCAACATGACAATGACCCAAAACATACTAGTAAATCAACTAAAGACTGGCTGAAAAAGAAGAAATGGAGAGTCCTGGAATGGCCGAGTCAAAGTCCAGACCTGAATCCCATTGAGATGCTGTGGGGTGACTTGAAAAGGGCTGTACATGCAAGAAACCCCTCAAACATCTCACAGCTGAAACAATTCTGCATTGAGGAGTGGGATAAAATTCCCTCAGACCGATGTCAGAGACTATTAGATGGCTACAAGAACCGTCTCACTGCAGTTATTTCAGCCAAAGGAGGTAACACTAGCTATTAGGGGCTAGGGTGTGCTAACTTTTTCCTCAGTTGGAATAGGCATTTTTGTAGAATTACATTTACAGAAGATCTTGAAAAGACTTTTCTTCAGTTTTACTTGTTTAGTTGTATTACTTTAATCTCTCTGTATTGTTAAAATTGAGATTAAATAACCATATATTAAAACATGTTACAAAATACACATGCTTTCAAAGGGTGTGCTAATTTTTTCACATGACTGTATACAGTACATATTTTACAGAGGAAAATGTCTCCTTAGTGTGGAAGGATCAAATTGATGTTTGTTTCTAGACAGTTTTGGTTTTGTTATTCATACACTGAGGAAGTGAAGTGGATCTTAGTAGTGTGTGCATACTGTACATACTGTATGGCAAAGATACAACATAGAAACGAGAGAGGAAACAAGGCAAAGACAATGATGTTTGTACTGAACGTGTGTGCGTCAGTGTATTTTATGAGTGTTTGATAGTGTATTTGCCTTTCTGCAGCTGGGAGATGTATAGCTTTGACTTGGTGCCGTCCAGCCGCTTGTACCACACCTCATCGTTATTGATGGTGGTGATGATGGCACTGCATGAAACAAATACAGATGTTAGCACAACACTAAACCACGACACTCACAATTTATATAGAGGGTATGCACATGGCATTACTATAGACAGATGTTTGGATGGCCAGTCTCCATTGAGTGGAAAACAGCCAACAATTAAGAGTTTACTGTTGCATTATTTGGAAAAAGATGCTGGAAAACTGTGCAAACAAAGCAAAGGGCATCTAAACACACTGAGAAAGAAGTACATTTTTTAAAAACTGAAGAGAAACAACATGAAGTGACACTTTCTAACTAAGTATCCACTCTTTACAGTGAAACATGTCATAAGATCTAAATATTTTTAGAATCTGTCCACAGACAAGCGAGATATCATTTTAATTCATATTTTTTATCAGGTTATCAAATAGTGCCTTAGAAAGATGATGGGATTCCAACAGAAAAACCATTTCCCACACAAAACCGGCATTTTTAAAAACAGAAATAAGGTGGCAGATGGAATCTAACAACACATTTGTGATCAGTGCATTTTCAGGTTTATTGTTTTATTTACACCTCTATGTTTACATCACCGCTGTCTCAGCCCCAAACTCTTCACCCTGTACACCCACGACTGTGTCTCCAACCGTGACAACACCATCATCGTTAAATATGCTGATGACATCACTATTCTGGGCCTCATCAAGGGGGGAGACGAGTTGGGTTACAGAGGCTTGGTGAACAACATTCTTATTTATGGAGCGGAGAACGACCTCACCCTCAACATAAACAAGATAAAAGAAATAATAGTAGACCTCAGGAAGAATGCCTCCCCTCTGCTGCCTCTGACCATCAAAGGGACTGAGGTGGAGAGGGCTGACAGCCACAAGTTCCTGGGGCTGGTGACATCTGACCTGAGCTGGTCACTGAACACAGCTGCCACAGTGAAGAAAGCCCAGCAGCAGCTATACTACATCAGGCAGCTCAGAAAAGCTGGGTTGAACCGTTACCCTCTCACCCAGGCTTAAAGAGGACTGGTAGAGAGCATCCTCACTACTGGCATCACAGTCTGGTATGGTAACACCACACAGACAGAGAGGAAGGCTCTTCAGAGGGTCATAAAGACTGTAGAGAGGATCACTGGGACTGAACTGCCTGCTATGGACACACTATACACACAGCACTGTTGTAAAAGGGCAGAAAACATAATCAGGGATCCACGCCACCCAGCTCACACTCTGCTCAGACACAAAAACTGCACCTACAACCTCAGGCACAGCAGGGTGGACAGTATCATCACACACAGAACAAGACTTTACAATAGCTTTTTCCCTGCCGCAGTAAGACTGATGGCAAATATGAAAATGTGAGAATATATGTGCAATAACTCCTCACTACCTCACCAAGTGTAATGACATATCGAACTCCACCATGTGAATTACTAAGTGCAATGTTTGAAGTTCACTGTGCGAAATGCTATTACCTTATTTTTGTGTATGGTGCTTTAATACTTTGTCGCCCTTATGTAACTTTTCTATTTTAAGACTAACTGTTCTTTCTGGCTTTTGACTCCTTACCTGACTCCAAAGGAGAGCTGCA